TGAATTTTTTTTCATTCAATGATAACCACTTGCAATTTTGTGTCATTTGAGTTTTAATTCAGCAGTAAATCATTTCCATTCCATTTCCTAAGCAGCGTTGTCCTGAAAAGAAAAAGAGAGGCTGAAAACAATTCAGCAAATGGACGTCCGAAGTTGTGCTGGATATACATCTTCATCTGATTGGGTCTTATGTCATTTTCATGTCCACTATCTTCAACCAGGATTTTTTTAAAAAGTAAATGTGGCTCTTTTGTTTGTTTTTACCCTACAGAACATACTTTTCTTGTTCTACCTTTTTTTAAAAGTCTTTTCATTTCACAAAAGTGTTTGCATTTGTCTCAAGAGACTCAAATAGGAAGATCAGTTTTCAAGGCACTCACATCAAATTGAATGGCAGTAGAAAAACTGTCCAATAAATTATTATTATTTTTCTTTATAGTGCCAGTATTGTGAATGCCACGCTTAGCAACACTGACACTTAATCTCAGATGTCCTCTTTAACCGTTTCACCCACCTCTGGGCCAAGCAAAGACAAAAAATGCTATAATTTCTTGTTCAGAAGCCGCTGGTCTTAAATGCAAACAAAAACATTTTTTTTTAAAGTGCGGGTCAACAGAACCAAAATGTATAATTCTTAAATTGTCCTGACTTGGTAGACTAAACTGGCAGTTCTCAAACCACGGCCTAATAAAGATTTATCTATAGGTCGTGAGAAATACATATATTTGGGTTTTCCTACGATCAACAAAGTTGCACGGAAAGACGGGCAATTCAAACAGGGGGCACCTACTCTGGTCTGGTAGATCTTAAAAATGAAAGGAAAAAGGATCAGAGTCATATAGGCCTGCAATATACTCTGAGTGCATGAGAGAGAGAGAGCTAAAGCCTGTGAAGAGCAAGAATCCCATTGGTCTACAACATCGTCAAACACACTGCAAGAGGAATACTTAACTCAGAAGGCCCATCTGATCAATATACTCAGAAGTGGAAGAAGTTTCAGAGAGTTTGTGCCCGATGCTTAAATTAATTTTCGGGGGGGGGGGGAGGAATAAGAGCTCCCAATGAAATCCACAAATCAAAACATTCATCTGTTGAACCCCAAACTGGCCATTGTTGTAACTTTCTAGAGATAGTAGGAACAGAGGCCATCACAAAAGGAGCGGGTCAAAGTGGGGAGGCAGCTGACACATGTCCTTCCTAACAATTGTCTGTGCTTCCTTAGGGATGGCCAGTTCGCACTTTGAGGCATATGATTATCTAATAAGAAGAGCGAATTATTAGGATTAAACCAATATTTGTTGTGAGAAGGTAGAAAATGCAGAGGGCTGCCAGGTAACAATTTTTAATAGAAGAAACATGGGTGCTCTCTAAATCTTTTATAAAAGTCAAATAGACTTGGAGCATTCCCTATGAAGGACGGTCTATTATGCTACAAGGGATGCAAGCTACTGTCATAAGTGATTCCATTTAATGTAAGTCAGGGGCATTCAAGAACCCTAAACAACAATGACTGGTGTTTAATTAGAACTGAAAATAAACATTAAAAAATGAAAATATGATTGCCAAAATACTAAATTCGTAAATTTCCAGAGGAAATTCAAAATTGCAATATCTCTTAACTCCATTTTTAGATAATGAAATCAATTTTCCAGTCTAAATCTTTAGTAAGTTTTTGCAAAGAAGGGGAGGGGAATTCTCAGCTCCAGAATATCAATTTTGAAACTCTATTACGGGACTCATTCAGGATTTTCAAAAGCAGAAAGAATGTGCGAATTTTCATTTCACTGTCAAAATGCCTGAAAATATCCGGTCTAGCACACAGCCTATGTATAACAGCTGTGAGTATCACTGTTTCTTTTTCTGGAGTACTATTTAAATAACTGGTATGTATGGAAGTCATAGATTCACAGGTTCACAATTGTGAAGTAAGGAAGCTGCACACTGTCTGCATTCAGACCTCAGGCTCCACTATAGTTTGATCAAACCCCAGTTTGATGTGATGTTTGGATGCAGGCAATGCAATAAACCAGGATTTGTTGATTGGTACCAAACCGGAATTTCAGTCTAGGGTCTGTAGTTGTTTTGCTAACTACAAGTTGTCCTAATTGGTTTGCAGTGATGTCTGAATTCACTAACCAGTTTGCTGAGTTAAAGGCTGCAGAGCTGGCAGTGTGAGGAGAATTTTCTTCTGGAATAGACAAACTTGGGTTTAGACACAAAACAGGATTTGTACTTCTGTCTGATAAACTAACTAGAATTTGTTCCAGAAACCCCGATTTATTGTAATGCCTGAATACACCAGCACTGGTATCACCTATATGACCTTGTATGCAATCATGCAGGAGAACATGTTTTATCCCATTCACATCCCTCAAATATAAAGCTAATATTCCTTACAAGAATACCCATGAGTGTTCAAAGTATGGTAGTCATCTACCATCATGGTTGGCCACTCTGTTTGATATTATACCTTACCACTTTTAGTAGTATCATAGCTGTGACCAACCAGCTCAAGGCAGATCACCAGCCATGGACTGCGACCTGCTTATATTTCCCACAACACTCATGTTGTAGCCCTATTAAAGTGGCATAAACAGGTCTGCTTAACCTTTGATGGACCATCACGTGTGGCTGCTGGACTGTGTTCCATTTGTTGGTAGTAAGGCATGGTATGTGTCTAGCATCTCTTGTACAATGGGCAGTAGAATGATAGCAACCACATGCTCACACTTTTCAATCAATAGCTCTCAATGACTGACCATTTCAAAATAGACAAATGTAATGATCTACAAGTGGGTCACAGAATGATGCCTGTGGCTGGTTAACTGGTACCGAGAACAATGACAGATAAGATTTCTCCTAGGACTACATCTGAAACAATCTCACACAATAACAATATTTGGAGTTGGGAAGGACAGAATGAGCCCAAGGAAATTTATAGTTTGGCTCAATTGACTTAGTCATCTGGACCCATCTGTTCAGCAGGTACTGCTGCAACTTATGTACACTCAATTTGTGGCACACCACAATGTGGATTTTGTGAGTCTACTGGGATGGCCCGGCATTGTACTGGGAACTGGTCTTGATGGCATTTTGGTACCTTCTGGTCATAGCCCCCTGTTCTATGGTTCTGAACCACAGTAACAGTGTGCTGATGCAAAAACAGCCCAGAAAGTTTGTGATACCTGAAAAACCATCAAGATCTTTATGGTACCATAAGTTACTTGCCTGTTTTTTGCAGCAACACAACTATACCTGTGGGGCTCAGCTTGATTAAAAAATTATGAATTATTATGCTAGCCAACCACTTAGAATCCAACACGGACACATGAAGAGATCCAAGACCTTAGAATTTTGTGAAATGGCCATTCATAGGGATATTGGGATAGTTCCAGGGCTGCCAGTCCTCTTGCTATAGTGGGTGTCTTCCGATTTGTAGCCCTAGTTGACCATCACCAGTGGCAGTGGGAGAATTTAAAGAATGAAACCAAAAAACAAAACCCCCAGTGTCATCTGCACTACTATATCACTTCTTAGAAAAACCTGGAAGTGATACAGAGTTCTTCTAGGAATCACTGAAAATCCTATGGTTTTACCAGCCATTCCTAGAGACACCCTATGTCACTTCTGGGTTTCCCCAAAGAGTAATATAGTGGTGTAGATTATGTCAAACCCCCATGTTTCCACCTCCAATCCTCCTCCATTCATCTGGCTGATCTAACATATGAAATCCTTAGGTACATTTTGCCCAGTTTAATATGTGATTAGAGAGTCAATTTGTGATAGAATTAACATATCTTACTATTGCCTAATTGGCTGATATGACATAGGGAGACCAATTTAGGATACGTAATCTATCAAAATAATCCTTAAACCCTATTAGGCCCACAGAACAACAAAATTGTATGTATGTGTGTGTATGGACGGCCTTTTAACAAACTAACATCCAATGTGTAACATCAGTTATTCTGATAAAGGGCATTGCTGCTCTTGCTCTGGGGGGGTCATAACAATTTAACATACCCAGGTAATCAACTGGTAACTGCAGTTTTGTGTGCATTATGTTTTATGTGAACAAGACCTCAAATAAGTTGATGCATGTGTGAAAAACATCAAGCAAAGCTTCATTTTAGTCGTGTTTTCCAAAATCTGTGCATGCAGCTGTCAGGGCTCTCAAATTGTCTAAAGGGATTTTTTTTTAAAATGGCAGAAAGGTGAAAATATGATACTAGTAACTGGAGCAAATTTCCTTACTAATTATGCGCATCTCTTGCTATTGTTTTCATGGATGTCGCTGCCATCAGAAAATACCTGTGCCTGTGTCTTTTTATCACTCATAATAATATTGATTCTAAAAGTTTGTAAAAAAAATCTTTTTAAAGGCCTCTGTTTTTAGTGGCAGCCTCAGTGCTACATATTAGATCCAAATCCAAAAGAAAGTGCTACAATGTTTAAGATTGTTATCCGCCATACTACTTCATCTTCTCTAACGTCCAAATGGTTTTTTCTTTTTCTTTTAAGGGACACCTCAAAGGGGTAAAATAACAACAACAACAAGAGAAAAAGAGAACAAAATAATTACATAAAATGTTGGCTTCTTCACAAGAAATTACAGATGCTTAGCGTAAGATTCACCAAAGCAGCGGCCTTTTAAAATTATAATTTAAATTGATATGCATCTCCCCCTGTAATGGAAATAATCTCAGGTTACTACTGGGGAAAATCAGAATGGGATACCTAACAAAAATGTAAAAGGAAATCTAAAACAGAAAAAAAAAAAGTCTTTAAAAAAATACCTGCACATGCCAAAAAAAAGAAATACAAAATAACCCAATAAATACAGAAATTATTGCACAGTTAAAAGGCTTCACAATTTTTACTGCCTTATCCAATCCTCAGGTTTACTAGAACTTTGTAGACACAGGTTATATTTAAGTGCCGAATTCTGGCACCTGCCATATTTATCCTAAGTTACATTTATGGAGGCAAGTTAGGTCAGCTTTTCTCGGTTGGCAATAGTTAAACTGTACAACTTAAATGTTACCTAGACCCCTGATTTTAACCCGGTTGGGGGGCCTTAGCTTCTTTCTGCCTGCTCAATTTTGACATCATTTGTCAGCAAATGTTCGCCATGCCACTTTTTCATGTGTTTCTCCAGGGTGCTGTAAACACTGAAGGGCATCTGGCAAATGTCGCAGCGGTAGACCTCCTTCCCTATCTGGCCATGTGTTTTCATATGACGTGTCAGCTTACTGCTCTGGGCACATGCATAGTTGCAGAGCTCACATTTGTAAGGCCGCTCTCCCGTGTGGCTCCGGCGATGCACCGTTAAGTTGCTGCAATTCTTAAACACCTTGCCACAGTATTCGCACGTATCGCTCCGCCGCCCTTCCTTTGAACTGGGTCGACCGGGGCCAGGTCCGCTGATATGGGGCGTACTGCCACCGCTCGCTGTCCCACTGCGCCCTGAGAGACCGCCATCCAGCATATCACCTGGTGGAGTAGAGAAACGCAGGCTTCCATTTTCTGAGGAGTGCTCAGAAGAAGTAGCAAAGGGGGATTGTCGGGAGTCTGTGAATCCTAGAAACGGATCCTTCATGAAGTGCCTTGATGCTGCATATCCTACCAGCCACTGTGAGTAAACATTTTCAGAAGGTATTATTGTTGCTGGTGGTAAGTCCAAATCTTTTTCTATCTTTATTCTTTTTGATGAGTTGTTTAAACTGGGGCTTGTGATAGGGGTTGGCTTACGAGGGAACAGGCCTGGAAAGGGTTCGCCAGGACCAAAGTTTCTCCCATTGACTGTCCCTTCCTCAGTGCGATCAAGTTCTCCTACTACTGAGTCTTCATCACCAGTGTCTCTCTGACAGAGGTCTCTCTGACAGAGGTCTCGTTGATCAGAAGACCTTTTCATGAAGCTACTTCTTTTCTGCTTTTCGGCCAGCATGTCGTTGTATTGCTGGATGGTACCCAAGCTTACATTCTCTATCACTTTTCCTAGGACAAGGGATTTTTCATCTGGCAGCGATTTGGAGCCGTTTTCTCGGTTACGACTTAGTTCCGAGTCCATGCTGAAGCTTGACTCAGGCCTACTTTCGTTTTCTAGCTCCTCTTCCTCCTCCTCCTCCTCCTCCTCTTCTTCATTGTCATGCCCTAGGGAAGGATCACTCTCATTCCTGAAATCTGCCTCACTAGACTTTAGTCCTTCTCCAGTGAGCTCACTTGTGCCAGGCTCAGGGGAGCTTGTAGCAGAAAGTCCATCATCTGACCTCCCTGTCATGGACCCAGCTTTGTGCATATGTGTTTTCATATGGCGTTTTAACTTGCTGGCTTGGGAACAAGCATGGTCACAGAGCTGGCATTTATAGGGCTTCTCTCCTGTGTGACTGCGTCGGTGAACAATGAGATTGCTCTGGAACTTGAACGTTTTCCCACAGAATTCACAGGACTTACTTTTAGCCTGAGGCTGGGGAGGCGTAGTGCTGCTTGGGGGCATCGGTGGCAATGGTGGAGTGCTCAAAAAAGGTGATTTAGGGCTTGGCTGGAAAGGATTCAACAAGCGATGCATAGGGTTGTTGCGATTGGGAGAGACTGGCGGAGGGGTGGAGTTGTTCCCCGCCAGTTCTCGAAGCCTTCTAGAGAAATCCATCGCTGGCGACTCGATTGCCATGGGGTTTAAACGCATGACTCTGTCAAAGGCACTGGGATGCTGGGCAACTAACCCCATTTCTTCGGCACTAAGGCGATGTGGATCCAGATGATGACGAGGAGGAGGGCTGAAGAGGGGAGGTGTGTTGGGGAGCCGACCTTCACCAAAGCCAGGGTGATCACGCAGGATGGGACCTGTCATTCGCAAGAGACTAAAAGGGTTGTTGTCACCAAGGAAATTCATCAACGGGGACTGTGCAACAGTCTCAGGTCCCAGAGGAGGAGGGATGGTGATGCGTGGAGTAAGGGAGCTATTTGAAGGACTTGTTTCCAAGTAGATGCGGAATCCATGTGTGTTCTGGGCATGCTGAAGCAAAAACCAAGCGCTATTAAAAGGCTGCTTGCATGTTGTGCAAATATAGCTTGAAGGCTCATCTTTACCTAGAGAAACAAAAATAACAGAAAGAGAGAAAGAGAATAAAAAATCAGAAAAAAATGTCACACATGAGAACTTCTAAATACCATTTTTTTCCTACATGGTATTTCTGTTTTTTTAAAAAAATACTAACAAAAAAATGTTCCCACCTATCTGTAATCTGTTTATGATATAGCAAACCAATGAACTATAGCTCGCTGGAATCCAGCAAATCTGCTCCAATAGAGTTCCAACTTAAGTTTCAAAATTATTTGTTCAAATCCCCACACAGCCATCAAACTAAGTGGTGAGCCTGGGTTGTCATGAGGATAAAAGGAGAGACAAAAGAGGATCACTTTGGGGAAAGGTAAGCAAAAATGTAACATACAGACAATTGAAAAAAACTGAAGGCGATATTGAAGAAAATATGTAAACCACCACCAGCGTGTTTTCTTGCGAGAAATTCTTTTAATAAATAAAATTAACTAAGGCCCCCGCCACACGGCAGGGGAAAATCCCACGGATCCCCTGGCCGCGGCGCCTTTTCTCCCCGGCACAATCAAACGCCGGGGAGAAAACACGGCCCTGACCGGGAGCCGGCCGAACTGCGCATGTCGGAGCATGCGCAGTTCGGCTACGGGCCGGGGTTGTGCCGGTGCAAGGACGCGCCGGCGATCAAACGCCCGGCTTGCCACGCAGCTTCCCCATGAACCACCAAGGTAGGTGGTTGCAAGTTGAGGCGGATTTTCGCGGGGAAGGGCCAGTTCGGGGATGGAAGCACGACGCTTCCCAGATGTTGTGGTGTGATCGCGCCGGTTTGATCCGCCCCCGAACTGTCCCGCTCCCGGCCCAAATTGCCTAGTGTGAACGGGACCTAAAAGAACTTAAGCAGCATGTGGGAATTCAACCTGGTATTTCACTTAACTACTGACCATCAACTGTTGAAAGAGAAGCATTAGAAATCTCACCTACATAGGGGAAATGCAACCTAAAAAGAATTTTTTTCTTCAATTCTTTATCAGAAGCCCTGAATAAATGAGGAGATAGGTCTGACCATGAAGGCATCAAAATAGATGAATTTAACTTGTGGAAAGGCTATTGTGGCTGTCTCTCAAGTAACTGATACCTACCCCACTCCTAATACAGAAACGTTCAGTAAAGTTACAACTTTTATTCTTCTCTTTTTTTTCTTCTCACTTTCTCTATTTCTCTTCTCAGTTCTATTTTAGATTTCTACTACAGCCAGGTACAGGCAAGTTGCAGCTACGTTCATGATCCTGCTAACTTTAAAAATGGACACAACACAAACTTATTTAATGATCTTCTTCAATATGCATAGTGCCACTATGAGCTTAAATCCTGAAAAACTCCTATGGGTTTGGGAAAGGGAGGGACTTCAGTGGGGAGTACTTCCAGAGTCCACCCTCCAAAGCAGCCATTTTGTCCAGGGAAACTGATCTCTGTAGTCTGGAGATTAGGTGTAATTCCAGATTTCCAGGCCTCACCTGGAAGTTGGCAACATGTAGGTTACCCCTCAACAGGTAATGTAGTGAGCCAGATAGTTATCTATGGCTATCAATGAACCATCACCCACTTAACGGAAATACCCCCACAACATTAATGCACTGATGTAATGCAAGAACTTCATGGGGTAATTTTTATTTGTTTTGATACAATCTTGTTCAACTATAATTATGGCTATTTATTCCAAACCTATTGGAATATTACCCAGAACAAAAGATGTAATTAAATTTTTTTTAGCAGCAGTGGTTACCCAATTTATACCCAGGTTCTGCACATAAGGATCTCCTTAGGACTGAGGCACTGGAGAGGAGAGGAATTCCTGCCAGTATGTGTATATGTGTAATATTCTGAAGATGAATCAACAGCCAGTGATCCCATTATTACTTTCAATAGTTAATATTTTTCTTTCTTGAGACTAAATGTGACAAAAAAGTCTAGACCTTTAATATTTCTTAAACAATACCATGTATAGTATAAAAAGTGACAGGTCACTGAAGCAGGCTAAGATTTAGAACATATTCTGTCAAAATCTTTTTTAACAATATGTTTTACCTCAGCTCACCCTTGAATGGACTTTCATAAAACCCTTTCTGAACTAATAGCAAATTAAGAGCAAGATCTTACAAGGTCATACAGCTTCAAATTAAAGAGTGCTCAGTACCCTTTACCTCCATTTTATCCACACTTAATTAACTGATAATCCTCAGCTGATTGACTATTTCATTTTTACAATCACAGTCTGAATTTTCTATTTATGTTTTTCTTCAGCATTTTCAAAAACTAGATCACCTAATGAAGTAATTTCCCACCCACCCCCCACACAAAACAACTTCTGTCTTTAAAGGGCTGCATCAAGAAATGCAAGTAAATATAAGAGTGTTACGCCTTAAAATGAAGACCAAGACCAAGTTCATGAGGGGGGGAATAAAAATATTTCCTTTAAATGGTAGCTAGCTGGCCATTGGCATTTGTGTCACAGAGCAGAGACATTTTGTTTTTTATTCTTTACTCCCCCCAAATTTCACCTCTGTGAGAGAATAAATCTTTTTCTCTCCTGCTTTCTGATTCTCTTTCAAAACCAGATTATTAGGGTGTATTACTGGCACAAGATACTGATATGACAAGTTATCGGTCATAGCAGTAGCAATTCTTTTCTCTCTTTCTCTCTTTTTGTTTTACTTCGCTTTCATGCCCCCAAACTCTTCTGTTCGGCAGCCCCCTGTTCACAATGGCAAAATTGTCTGCAGGCTACTTGGCTACGAAGGCTCTGACAGAATTGCTTATTTTTTCTTTTTCTTCTTTTTCCCCTCACTTCACTTTCACAGCCCTCAAAGGCTCTCCCTAGACTCTCCTTTATTTTTTTTAACTTAAATAAAAAAATAAAATAAAATGTTCATTTCCATATTATCACTTCATGGTTATCTTGCCGCGAAGTTGCCCTGAGCAGTGTAGATGCTCACTTTTAAGAAGAGAACAATGTCAAAAAGTCTTTGAAATTACACTCTGAACATTTTTTATATTCTAAAACTTGCTAAGTATTTTCAACATACCCAGGAATGGTCAGATACTGCTATAAAGTGATCCCCATAGCTAATAATGCAAAACACCTATCCTTGAAAACACTTTGCTATAAGGGTACTTTTATGTAAGCCCACCTTCTTCGGATGCTCATGGTTCCATCATAAATGGAGTTACATCCTTCAAAGGCCACTGACTTCAGTGGTCTTAGAAGGGTATAACTCTGCTTCGGATGACACTGTTAGTGAGGTACACAAAAATGGGAAAAAACTTCCTATTGTCACACTTCTTAGGTTAAGTCTAAGTGAGAACTCCAAAACACAAGAGTTCAATCATTTAACCCTGTGGAAGATGAAGGGGTTCCCATCTAAGGGAGCACATCCTTGAGTCCCTTCCATTTTACTGAAGCCCTAACCAAACCTAAGTACTCATATCTCCATCTCTGAGGACCTAGCTTTTTCGCTGGAAGGGAGATATTTACCAAAAGCTGCAACATGGTTTTCAATGTGTTGCTGTTTGCGTACACACACACTCCCCTCACAAATATCCATGTACTCAGCCCTTTGACCTGTGGAGCATACAGGAGTACATTTCCCAGCAGGCTCCATAAATCCAAAACAACAGCAGCCCATTTTTCAAATCTTCTTTTCCTATATGAGTAAGATTTCAGTCTGGTAACAACCTTAAGGACCAACAAGATTTCCAGGCAATATCTGAGTCCAGTAATACCTTAAAGACCAAGACAATTTGCAGGATATAAGCTTTCAAGAGTCAAAGCTCCTTTGCCTAAAATGGCTACCCACTTGAAACTATTCTATATTTCTTCCCTCCCCTGTTCAATGTTTTTTGATCTCTCTCCCAGTATTAATAAGGTCCCCCCCTTTCAATGAGTTGCTCCTAAAGCTTTCCCACTAACTGTATCCTTGTTCACATTTATTGCATCAGAGTGAAAACATTAAAAAAGGAAAGGTGAATCTCTCCTCAGTTTTTCTAATGTGCAAACCTCCCTTTGCCTATACTGGTAAACATCTGTCTAAATTACTTCTCTCCTAGAATTAATTTTGCAGGTGCTTTATCTTTTTTATTAAAGGTTTTAAAGTTTTAAAATATTTTTAAAATATTGTTAATATTCTTATTCGGATCTGGAACAGTAACACTAGTTCCCAACCATATTACAGAATATGCACAATGCAATTCTAGCATTTCCCCACAATTTGTAGATGCTATGAAGCATAGGAGGGAAGCATGAAATAGTGTTCCAAAGATTCAAAGAGACATGCATAAGCCACAGTGAGATTGGTCAAGGACTCTGCAATGTTCTTTTCATCTAGGTGCTAAATTTATCAGAAATTTATCAGTGCAGCTGAAAGCGCTGCACTGGCTGCCGATAGCATACCGGATTCGCTTCAAAGTGCTGGTTTTGACCTTTAAAGCCCTAAATGGCCAGGGTCCAGCCTACCTGAGGGACCGCCTTTCTCCATATGTTCCCCCAAGGGCACTTCGGTCGGGAGGGCAACATCTCCTGGAGATTCCAGGCCCGAAAGAAGCTAAACTTGCTGCGACTAGGGCTGGGGCGTTCTCGGTGGCGGCTCCTACCTGGTGGAAGGAGCTCCCGGAAGAGATCCGGGCCCTGCGGGACCTTTCTCAGTTCCGCAGGGCCTGCAAGACGGAGCTCTTCCGCCAGGCCTTTGGATAGGAGCCGCCGCCACTGCTCAGCCCTAAGCGAATTACATCGAATTAACATCGGATTGCCTGGCCCCTAAGGGTGGAACGTAATGCTAAACGCCGCGCTATGTCAGATAAGATCTCTCTTTTCTTGGTTGAAATTTGTTATTATTTGTTGTAAATTGTTTATTTTATTGTAATTTATTGATTTTAAATCATATGATATTGTTTTAAACCTGGCACTTGTGCCCTGTAAGCCGCCCTGAGCCTTCGGGGTAGGGCGGGGTATAAATTTAAATATAAATAAATAAATAAATAA